ACAGATGGACGAATTCACCCAACCTTGGTCTTTCTGGCCTTTCTGCCAGAGACTCTTGCTCTTGGGGATGAGACTACAAGATTAATGGTGTATAATATCTGTGCTGAATGAAAAGGGGATTTGAAAGCAGTCTCTGGGGGTGAAAGATGTCTGTGGAATGAATATTAGTGGTGCAACCTGACCTCGCCACCGCAAACAAAGAGCGAAAGAGTTGGAGGAAGAGAGAATCTGACTCTCCAAGATACAAGCTTTTGCTCTGTTACATCTGCAGACTAAACTCTGAGTCTCTGCAGCTCTTATTCTCTGCCATTTTTTTTGTCTATTTTTCACTCTCCTGCTGCTATTTTTGCTGTACGATTTTTGTATAGGCATTTTACATGTAGCTGAAGTGTTGTTAGTGCTGTGATGTATAGCAGATTGTTCTTTTCAAGATATTAAAAGTATTTTTGGTTTAGAAAAAAGCTAAAAAAAAAAAAACACTTCCATTTTTCTTCCAAAATAGCACTCTTTTTTTTATTACATGGTGGTCGAAAAACAGTCTAACTAAAGAAGTGTTCAAATTCACAGAAGTAACAAAAGTGTATAAGGGTGTTTTTACACCTGCCTTATTTAATTCGGTTGAATTGCACTAGAGTTCGTTTTCTCTCTTGGTGCGGTTCGTTTGGGCAGGTGTGAGTATAGCAATCGCACTTGAGGGCGCACCAAAAGCGCACCAAAAAAGCGTGTTGAGACCTCCTAAACGAGGTGGTCTCAGTATGCTTTCAAATGTACCCTGGAGTTGTTAGTTTGTGGTGTTTTAGTTATGATCCGAACTAAAACAGACTCAACCGCAAAAAGTACTGAGCCTTTTTGAACTAATTCAGCTGAAGTAGTCCAATGCGCTGTCCCAACTAATGGGGTGTAGAGGAAAAATATTTGTTGACAGCACTTTACCAACAGTTTTAAACAGAGTGGGAGAAATAGGGTAAACATTAACCTGATGGATCGTTGGTAATTTTTCAGTTTAGCTAAATTAATTCCTGTCTCCTCCTCCTGTAGTGACTTGTGATGCACCTTCGTCGTTTACAATACATTTAAACATTGTTTTCCAGCCGCAGTCGCGGCTTCATTATCTTCATTATCACCTTCATTATCAAAATGTATAGTTTGTCTAAAGTGAAGTATACAAAGTATATAGTATATTATGACCTGGGATACAATCAGCCAACGCATTGGTCCCTCCATAGTAAAAATCGACATTTTGTGTCTGCCGGTTTGTTTACTTGTAGGAGTTCCATTGGCATTTTCCCACATGTTAATTATGACCAATTGAAAAGCAGTTTAGGAAATACGTTCAATAACATCTGGCCAATGAGTGATGTGGATTTTGTCCCATGACTACATTTTGGTTCCTTTCAACTGGTTCGGATCAAAGCAATCAGTGTGTTGTGAAAAGGACCCAAAAACAGCAGAAAATGCTAAAATGTGTCATTTGTTTCCCTTGGTCCGGACCAAATAAACCGAACCACAGATGTGAAAGCACCCTGAGTAAGGAAATCTGGGGCACCCGATAAATAAATACAAATATAAATTTTACCCATAAATTATATGACATTGTTTTATATCACATTTTGTGTTGTGAGGGAGTAACAAAGAAAATTTTGACATAATTATTACATCTAAGAAAATTTATTCCCCACCCCAATCATGGAGCAGTCTGGCAGTCAAATTAGGTAAATATTTACAAAAAATTTAAATATTCTAATAAAGATTCTTTACTATTTTTAGTTGTTAATTCATTTTAAGAAAACAAATCATTTAAATATGTAGCAATTAATGTATCTTGAAACACTAATTTTATTACTTTTTTTAAATTTTATTTTAACCCTAAGTTTACCATTTACAAAAGACTTGAATTACTAGCCGATGGACGATTGTATAATAGATGGCTATATTATTGTATATGATGACATGAATCTTTAAATAAATGTTTTTAAAAAGGTGTAGCAATTGCATTACGGTAAAATGTAGCAAATGAAATTGAGTGATAAAAAAAAAATAGTACAAAGGGTGCATTTTAGGACATGGCTGGAATTGCTTAGGGCTCTCAAATCACTAAATCCACCCCTGGATGCAGCAGACATTTGTAGGTCATGTGATAATGATAAATCAATTCATCTGATTTTTTTTTTTTTTTTTAATAACATATAGTTCATATTTTCCACAAAGTTATTATTTTATTAAGCATTCATAGAGATGTGTTGGATATTAGGTTCATTCCAAAACAAAATGGCGTACTTTTTAAAAAAGTTATTTTGATGAAGTTTCATCTGGAGAAATCAACACCAGGCCAGAGAGAAAATGGTAGCATCAAATTTGCAAACGTGCTAAAACTTGTTAGTTAACTTGTTAAATCAGTTCACAAATTGTACTGAGTAATTGATTAAAGAATTAGGCAGCTTTTTAATCAATTCCTTTTATAGTGAGAAATTTACTCATTCAAAAGATCCAATCAAAGAGTCTTAGCGATTTACTGATTGAAATGAAATGCTCAGAACAAGGCTGTGTCTGAAATCACCTACTGCTCAATAGGTACTGCATTGGAATTTAAACTTACTACTCGGCTGTTAGAAAAGTATGTTCTATACCAGGGGTGCCCAAACTTTTACTTATGAACGGCCCAAAACCAAACTTGAGGCTAGTGGGACAAAGGTAAATATAGCTACCATGGGTACTTCCTAATTTATTTAATAATATTTTAAAATAACTAGAAAACATTGCTTTGTATTAATTAATGTTGTATACATTTTTTTTAAAGTTTTTATAATAAACCTATAGCAGTAAAAATGATCTCATTTATAACAGACTGGGTTACGCTAGTCAAGCTACTGTAGTCTTCTGCATTGTCTTCTAACTGTCAAGTGACCATATTTACATTTTTACAAAATAGTTATTTATGTATTTACGAGTAACATTTAATTGAAACATTTAATATCTGTTGGCTTTTTTGTAGCTCAGCCTTAAAGCAAACAAACAAAAAAGATTATTTTAAACTAGAAATGACAATCTTTGTTAAAATCATTCGCCCCAACTCTGCCCATCATTCGTACTCCTTTCTCAGATGGGATAATGGGCCAAATCAAAGGTTACAACGGGCCAACTTTGGCCCACGGGCCCTAGTTCGGGTATCTCTGTTCTATAAAAGTCAGTAGCATGAATGGAACTCTCAGCGTCAGTTTCATCACTTCACTTCCGTTCATAAATTCTCTCGATGCATTATGGGATATTGTAGCGTCCATCGAATGTGCACTTCAGAATCTTGTCAGAAGTAGTACAGTATGTCATCTGGGTATTTCACACATGCTGTCTGTCGAATTCTATGAATTCAGACATACTACTCAGCTCGCATACTGTTTTTATCATACTATATAGTATCCGCTTGTTAAGTGTGACATCACGCGAAGCGGCTTCCGGGTCCAAGCACTCTGTTAAACCGTATGGGGAGATTCATCAAATGGTAATAATAAATGTTTACAAAGCGCTGTAATATTTTCAAAAATCATGATCGCAATATAAATGTCCATGCCTAATATCCGATGGCCAGAAAGTGATTCATTTTTTTATAAATTGTTAAAATTTTGGTATTTGTGATGCAGCAAGCCCTGAGACTGTTGTGTACACCATGATTTTATATACAATTCACTTTAATGTGTGATATGAATGAAAAGTGATCGTAAACGAATATTTTCTCAATTCAAATGAGTGGCAGCTTGGACCCGGAAACAGTATTTCATACTTCACCAACACGTCACCACTTAACAAGTGGATGGAAGTATGTGATTTTGGACAAAGCTCTAGACTCTAGTTAAGGAGAAATTGATTAAAATTATCCATTCAGGGTGAATCTCCAGTTAATGATTCACTGATTGAGATGATCTGCTCAAAGAGCCCAGTTAGCAATTTACTGATTCAAGTGATGCAGCCACACTGAGGCTACAGTTAATGATTTGCTGATTCAAATGACATGCCCAGAACACCTCTCCAGTTAATGTGAAATTGATTCAAATGATCCGTCCAGAGTAAGTCTCCAGTTAATGATTAACCGATTTAGTCGATCTCCTTTTTTGACCAGATAGCAAATATTCTGATTCAAACGATCCGGCCAAAGTGAGTTTACAGCTAATGATTCTCTGATTCAAATGATCTAGTGAGAGGGAGTCTAATGATGTGCTGATTCAAATTAAGTGTTCAGAGCACCTCTCCAGTAAATGTGAAATTGATTCAAATGATCCATCCATAGCGAGTTTCCAGTTAATGATTCATCAATTTACATGATCTGATAAAAAAATGTGACCAGATAGCAAACTACTGATTCAAATGAACTGGCTGGAGTGAGTCTTCAGTAAACAATTCACTGAATTTTCAAACTAATTCAAATGAAGTCAAACACGGGGATCCTTGAAATGCTTGAAATAATAATGACAAAATTTAGGTTTTATTTTTGCAAATATTTTTTTTATTTTGTTTTAAAGTGAACAACCTACTGTTTCAAAAGATCAATTCAAAGAGTCCACAGTTAGCGATTCAAATGATCTGCTCAGAGCAAGACTTCAGCTAATGAGAAATTGATTCAAAATATTCATCCAGGGTGAGTCTCCAGGCAATGATTCACTGATTCAGATGATTTGAACATTTCACTGAATTTGCAATCTAATTCAAATTTAGTAAAAAACAGGAAATCCTTCAAAAACTAATAACAAATTTTAGGTTTGTTAAATGGTTTTATTTTTTGAGCTCCTTCCTTCTAAGCAAAAAAACAATAACAGCAATGAATCACTTGAAGACTTCCTCATTGTAAATCACATTGGATTAACTTTAATATTTCTTTTGATTAATTTCTCAAAGAAAATCATTGTAATACATAGCAAACAGCTCCAAAAACAAAATACCTACAAGTTTGGAAGCCTTTGAGATTTTTAGGTGGTTTAGAATGCTAATGGAGATTTCTCACTCTCACACAGGTACATATCTCTTCCTAACGGAGTGCTGCAGATTTTAGAGGTCTCCAAAGAAGATGAAGGCTTGTACCGTTGTGTTGCCTTCAACTCTGCCCGCAAGCGATTCAGCCAGGATGCTTCTCTCACAGTCAGCCCAGGTACTGCATAACACAAAGACCTGTTCCTAATTACCCCATCATAGAAGAGCTTTTCATTATTCATGATCTGTGCACCTCACATAAAACCCAGAAGCTCCATTCACCCCTTCTCTCTGACGCACACATTTTCAGGAGTCAGTGAGTGCTTTCTGTTGAATTCATTAAAACATCAGAATTACAGAGTTGCATTTAATAATTAGTTGTAAAGTTAGTTTGTGTGTGTGTTTTAAAAGTGCCCTCTCTCTGACCCTTTGGAATTAAGTGGTCTGTTTTTATTGCTTTTCAGAAAAAAAAAAGTGGATGAAAAGTGGATAATGTATGGGTAGAAAATGACCAGCATGGTTTTTTTTTTTGTACATTTTCCTCTAGCCTAGAACACAGTGTAATATGTAATTTAATCAAGGTGTATTACTTTGAGTTCCTATCACTTTTTTCTATGTGAAATCTTTTTTTTTTTTTTTTTTTTTTTTGAGGTTGCAGTTGAGTCCAGGAGAGTTTTTAATTGCTTCTTCCTTCGATTCCAGTCTATTTGCAAAGGTTACATTACATAGTGTTGGGTTTACCTCAATCTGTGCTGAAATATGACACTCAAAGTGTGAATATGAGACTTAAAGTAGAGCTACAACCCTTCAGAAAGACTTGTAGAACTGCAGCCAGGGTTTACTTGTAACATTGATACTGGTAGTGTTTAATATCCATCCTATTTTCTCCAAATCCATTTGGTAGGTCTGACATCACGCATCCAGGTCAACACATTCTGTTGGCCTGTTTACACCTGGTCACTTCATGCATTTTTTCTGATGGGATAGCTTTCTGATTTCTAAAAATGGTTGCATTTACATTTCACCACATATGTGTCTCCACAAAACGGATATGGTTACAATCTTCAAATCCTCTGCTACAGTATGTGGAAATTTAGTTAGGTTACACTGAGTGTCACATAAACCTGCTTCTTTTACAACATACGAAAGTGTGAGATAGATATGTAAATACATACACACACACACACACACACACACACACACACACACACACACACACACACACACACACACACACACACACACACACACACACACACACACACACACACACACACACACACACACACACACACACACACACTACCAGTCAATAGTTTGAGGTCAGTACAATTTTTAAATGTTTTAAAATTATTTAAATTTTATAATTTTATAATTATTATAATTAATGGTAATGGTACTAAAAGCAACAATGACTGGAGTGATCATTTCATTTGAAACTACACACAATAAGAAAGCAAATATACACATAATTTATTAATATTTAACCATTTTTTTCACATTCAATAAAAGCTGCCTTGATGAACAGAATAATTTTCTTTAAAAAGACACACACACACACACACACACACACACACACATATATATATATATATATATATATATATATATATATATATAAGTTGAAGTCAGAATTAGCCCTCCTGATAAAAAGAAAACAAATTCAAAGGAGGGCTAATGATTCTGATATTTTGATATTGATTTAACATTTTCATTTAAACATTTGTGGTCAAAAATAATATTAAGCAATCATACTGTACAAATTGCCATCTGTGTCATTCTGTTACTTATGCATTTGTGCTGTTATCTTTTGGTCATTTAGCTGACAACACAATGCTCTCACCTTTTTTTAATTTTGGAAGGAGTAAAATTTACATACAGTTTGTGTTTTTAACAACCAGATGCATTTAGGCCAGTCCAGTTTGATATGGAATGCGTCACTGACCACCTCCTGAAGTGGTCTGAGCCATCGTATTTATATACAGTTGAAGTCAGAATTATTATTTCTTTTTTAAATATTTACCAAATGATGTTTAACAGAGCAAGGAAATTTTCACAGTATGTCTGATAATATTTTTTGTTCTGGAGAAAGTCTTTTTTGTTATATTTTGTCTAGATTAAAAGCATTTTTTTTAATTATTTTTTAAAATTATTTTATTTTTATTTTTTTAAATAATGCTGACCTCAACTGTACATCCAGGGCACTTACACCTGTCCATTTCATGATTGATAGCTATGAAGTGATAAACACATGAAGTACCCCCAAAACAAAAAAACAGAAGGTACTTCTACAATATATACTGTACATCACACTTGCATTGGAACGCAATGCTACCAAAACTTCATAATCTTAACATAATCCTATCCAGATAGTGATTCCATTCATTTTGAATCCTTCCCAAAAAAAATTGTGTCTGTGACACTTTGGCCACAGAGAGACTGAGTTACTAAAAGCTTAGCTTATTTGTGTGATTTAATGCTCATAAACAGATGTTGACACTGCACAGATGAAATGAGTCTAAATGAATCTAGGAACAGGATTAGCGAATCACTTTTGCCGGTGATGCAGTGGCACAGTAGATAGTGCTGTCGCCTCACAGCTAGAAGGTCACTGGTTTGAGCCTCGGCTGAGTCAGTTGGTGTTTCTGTGTGGAGTTTGCATGTTCTCTCCGCGTTCCTGTGGGTTTCCTCCAGGTGTTCCGGTTTCCGCGACAGTCCAAAGACATGCTGTACAGGTGAAATGGTCAGGCTAAAATTGTCTGTAGTGTATGAGTGTGAATGAGTGTGTATGGATGTTTACCAGAAATGGGTTGCTGCTTAAACATGTGCTGGATAAGTTGGTGGTTCATGCCACTGTGTCGACCCCCGATTAATAAAGAGACCAAGCCGAAAAGAAATGAATGAATGAAACACTTTTGCCTGATAGAATAACCAAACAAATGTTTACATGACAAAATAATAGGTAAAAATCACTTTTTGGTTTTGTGTTTTTTCACCTTTCTGATGTCTTTTCATTTTGAAATGATCTTTTGTGCAGCTTAGATTTGATATTTGTTTAGTTTTTTTTTTAAAGAATATTCCTGTATATTTCATAATACAGTTTCTAAACTTCTGAAAAATATCAGTTGTGTGCTTCTCTACCAATCTTTTTATGAAGTTTGTATATATCTGCAGTGGCACTTTCAGAGTTGTGCATCTATATGTGTGTGTGTGTGTGTGTGTGTGTGTGTGTGTGTGTGTGTGTGTGTGTATGTATGTTTAAGTGCCCTCTGCAGAGGTGGTCTGTGTTGCAGGCAGAATTGATTTCCTGCTGTCCTTAAGGCTGCTCGGCTGATGAAATGGAGGGGGCAAAAAGAGGGATGAAATAGAGGAATGAGATGAGGAACAAAGACAGAGAAGGCTAGAGAGATAAAGAACTAAATAAAATAAAAGAGAGTGTGGGAAGATGAGGGAGATGGATCGGTACTGCTATGAAGTCTGTCTATGTCTTTAACACACAGACATACACAGACACACACTCACTCACACACAAGCGCACACACACACACCTGAAAGACTTACATCTTCATGCTGACCTTCGCTCATTTCCATTATGCTTCCGTTATCAGCCAGAGACCTGAATGAGTTTTTCTCTTTCTGTGTGCGCGCGTGTGTGAGTGTGTGTGTGTGTGCTTCCATCTAGCACATTCATCTTTGAAGTGATCTCTCTAATTGTTCCACATTCATCTTTCTCCTTTTCCCCCTTTTTTTCTTCAATTTGCTTTTTTAAGCCTTTTACTTGTATCAGTTGCTTCATAAAGCAGCTTCTCTCTCGCTCTTTTTGGAAGAAAACCAAATGGATTAAGTGAAATTTATCTGATTGTGAGAATTTAATGAGAGATACTAAGAAACTAAAAAGTCAAAACTATACTTTGTTTCTATTTTCTTAAATATCATTATTATTGATATAATAATAATAATAATAATAATAATAATAATAATAATAATAATTATTATTATTATTATTATTATTATTTATTATTTATTTGTATTTTTTAGCATTTTGTTATTTTATTATTATCATTTTTTTTATTTATTCATTTATGTTTTTTTTTTCTTCAATTTAAAAGCAGGCAAGAATGCAGGCACTAGAAAGATCCACACAGAAAGAATAATGCTACTCTAACATTTTTGACTTTTCTGTCTAAAAGTTATGAATGGGGGAAAAAAATCATCTACAGTTTGTACTTATTAAAATATACTTTGGGCTGCATATTTCTAAACAATGGACAAATGTGAAGCATTTAATTTCCTGGAATTTAAAAAAAATAATTTACTGAGTGACTTGCGATTTAATTGCAAAGTTGAAATGAAAAAAGATAAAGAATTAGTTAAATAGGAATGAATGGGTTTAATGGAATAAGAAATAGACAGAGACCGATGGAGAGACAGATAGAGAGAGAGAGACAGAGAGAGAGAGAGAGAGAGAAAGAGAAAGAGAAAGAGAAAGAGAGAGAGTAAGAGAGCGAGAGAAATAAGCAATTACAATAAATGTTGGGGAGAGTTACGTTTGAAAGTAATGAATTACAATATTGAGTTACTCCCCCAAAAAAGTAACTAGTTGTGTTACTTAGTTACTTTTTATTGCGTTTGTATTGCGTTACGCTACTTTTGAGTTAATTTTGTGTTACTTTATCTGACCTGGCTGTAGCCTGATCTCAGAATTTCAAAACGTGCAGGGATTTTTTTCTTTTTCTTTTTAAATAGTGAAGTTAACAACACTCTATAAAACTTTTATTGACCTTTAAAAACATACAAAAATTACAAATAAGAATATAGGATAATGTTATCTTGGGAGAACTTCCTGAGCCCAGAGCTACAGTTGAAGTCCGAATTATTAAACCCCCTGGATTATTAGCCCCCTGTTTATGTTTTCCCCAATTTCTGTTTAACGCAGTGATTTTTCAACACATTTCTAAACATAATAGTTTTAATAAGTCAGTTCTATTAACTGATTTCTTTTATCTTTGCCATGATGACAGTAAATAATATTTTACTAGATATTTTTTAGACACTGAAAGTGACAATTAAAGGCTTAACTAGATTAATTAGATTAACTAGGCAGGTTAGGGTAATTAGGCAAGTAATTGTATAACAATGATTTGTTCTGACAGTCGAAAAAAATTTACATATAACTTT